GGTCACAGCCATTTTCAGCAGAGGGAAAGCTGAACCATGTGCATCCACAGATTGTTTGGATGTGGCCACCGCACCACCTATCCAAATAAGCTGCTACATAGCAATATTTAATCCAAGAGAACATATTTTAATATGGATAGTACTATTAAATTTCAAAACAATTTAATTACAGCAATTAAATGCAAAAAGTGTAAAAAATGTATTTTTTTTATCTTGGCTCTAATTCATATCTTTATCCCAACCTAACCACTTTTTAAGTGCAACCTCTAGCACAAATAATCTATGTTCATGGTAGTCTTCAGCCAAGGATTAGTTGCATGCCTCTGATATATGGCTGTGCAGGCTTTTAGGATACCTTTTTACCTAGATATCCCTTCCAGAATTCTCACATACTAAGTGTTAGCAACTATGCCCCTTTAATGACCTGTGGACTTCAACTCCCGGAATTCCTGAGCTGTGGTGGTTCAGGAATTCTGGGAGTTGAAGTCCACAGGTTGTAAAGGGGCATAGTTGCCCATCCCTGCTCACATCCCAATACGAAATAGGCACATCTATTCTAGTGAGAAGAGGAAACTGAGAGTTACAACAACAAAACTGATTGTACCATCGTAGACACTACCTGGGAGTATCTGTTCTTTCAATACAACCATAGTTCTTTTTATTTAACCTTCCCCCTTTCTCTTATATTAACAGGTGTCTTCTTGCTCAAGACAGCTGAATTATGAGCCTTCTTTCCTTTTAAGATCCAAACACAAAAGGTACATTTAGCCAAAAGCCAAGAAAAATAAGGAACTACAAATACATGCCTGATGAAACTTTGCCCGTGGAAAAATCTTTGAGATTAAATTTACCATTTTCATTCTTAACCATTACTAAAACTTTTGTCTCGTTATTCCTGTCCTCCTGAAAATGCCTTAGTGGAGTGGGATGTAAGAACGGATACCCCCATCCATTAACAAGAATTGCTTATGTATAAGCAATTGTGTATAATTATGCCATGGTGGCACATGGTTAAAATGCAGTATTGCAGGCTGATTCTGCCCATAGCCATGAGTTCAATTCTCACCGACTCAAGGTTGACTCTACCTTCCATCCTTCCGAAGTCGGTAAAATGAGGTCCCAGATTGTTGGGGGCAATATACTGACTCTGTAAACCACTGAGAGAGTGCTATAAACATTGTGGAGCGGTATATAAGTGCTATTGATATAACTACGTTTTCCTGGTTGAAATAAACTGTTGGCCCTTTAATTACTACTTGTCCAGGAATGAGGATGCATTAGAAAGTTTCCACTCTTTGTAAGAAATATACAGAACTAGGAGATTGAACAAGAAAGCAGGCACCCCAAAAGTTATTCCTGCCCGATTCTCAAACGGTAATTCTTACATACCCCACAGTTCCATCCTAATTCCAAGTAAGATGTTCTATCTCTCTTTGCCAAATTCTACATTATGTTTCTCAGCCTGCCTGTTTCCCCCCCCCCTTTTCAAAAGATTTAGATAAAATATTTTAGTAATCAAGAAACATCAAAGCCCTTTTATCATCTAAATAGGATTCAGGAATTTAACAAATGAGACTAGAGGGATGAAATCTTTTAAGATCCAGAACTGAACTGGGAAATGACCACAAAAACTATACCTGGCAGATAGACATCCAACTGTGCAGATCCAGTCACAGTGGTTTTTAGTTGCAAGATAACCTTCTCCTAAAACAGAGTATATATTGAAATAATAACTAAGTAATACTCATGGTCCCCTTTCCTTCACAAATATTGTGTCCAAATCTATTTGTTTTTTTTGCAATTCAATTTGCACATTGCATGTTTGCTAAGGTGCTGGCACATAACAGGGAGAAAATGTTCAAAATGTTAACATTGAGAGATGAAATGCCAAATTATCTAGTAGCAATGGATTCTCTGAAGCACAGATGGAATTTGATCTGCTCCAGAAACTGACAGTCTTTTTAACTTCGAGAACAGCAACAGAGCTGCTTTAGAGAAAGATTCACTCTAGAGATTAAACGTCAAAGAAATAATGAAGACTCTGAAGATCACAAAGTTCTCCAGAAGCCTTTGAACTACTTTCAAAAATAACCTGCCAGAAATAACCTGCAAGTCAAAGCCCAGAGCACAGGGTTTCTGCTATAATATGCAAACCAATTTTTAAAAAATCCTCCCCAACTCTGAGATAAGAGCCAAGAGATAAGGGGAGTTATGGGAAAATATGACATATAGGAAATCTTTCATGAGCCCACGTGGTGTGTGATATGTGCTGGATTCATCCTGTGGTGAGAAACTCACTTCCCTTATATTAGAAATATCTACAGCGAACGGACTGTTCTCTCTAAACAGTCACAAGATGATCATTTCATTAACACAACTTGGGCTTCCATTTATATTAAATAAATTAGAAGTTGTGCTACTGAATTTAAGGGATTTAAGACTGGAGTTCCTTGCTCAGCTTGGCATCAAGCCTTATCTAAACGAGTATAAGGAAATCAAAGCAAACTGGCTATGTTTTTCTTCCTCCAAAAGGACAGTGATAAGTTTAACCAGTTCACTGGGTACTGAACTTTTTTAAAAAAATATTATTTTATTCATTCCTTCTTTTGAGTCACAGTAATCACCAAGACTTTCTCCTTGGATATTTGATTTTTTTTCAAACAGCAATACTAACTTGCAATCGGAAGGAAATCAAGAGACAAATTAACCTATTGTAATTAGACTTTGGTCCTTTCCTTCTTTGATAATGTGATGTGCTTTATTTTTATAGTCTTTGAAGCTACAATCTGTACCAGCAACAGAGAATCTAAATTAACTCATTCTGAAAAAAGGGATCTCTGCATATCTGAAATATACTTCAGTTAACCCCTCCAACCTTTTAGGACTAAGCCCTCACATTGCAGTCAAGTTAAATAATAAAATCCAAAGAGCCCACGTGGTGTGTGAGAGATGGATAGCATTCCTATTAAAAATAACTTGAATTTCAGATACCTGCAAATTCTTGGGCACGTCAGTAGAATCTTTGCAGCATGCATGTTAGAAGGCTTTCTGATACTTGCTCATCAGGCAATTAATATTTTAGGGATAGGAAGATGCAATGTTAGATGAAACAGTACATTTTTTTAAAAAAGAGAAATGTAGCCTTGACCATATTTACTCAAACCATTGTCAAACTTTTGAAGTGAGGCCTACTCCAGTTGGTTTACACAGTAGAAAGCTTAAAACAGTAGTAGCAGGCATATATGTAACAACATAAACCTTGCATTTCAATATGAAAACAATATTATCAGCAAGTCTTAAATCTAGGTTGTCAATATAGCCCAACAATATATGATTCAATACTTCTTATGCAGTGGATCTTGGGGCCATTTGCACTATACATGGTCAGGAAGACATTCCGGGCCTGAAAAGGTCGCTGTCCTTTGGTTATTGAAAATATGTTTAATTTAAAAGCAATCCCATAGCAGAGTCTCAGGTTTGCATTGTGATGAAACATACAGGACTACCAAGAACGACAGTAAAAAAAAATAGCTCAGGAAATCTGATGCCTTTTAATGACGTCTCAAAAAGTGCTAACAAACTTCTGATTTTTGGCTACCACATATTAACCTGCCGCTTCTCCTACGGTATCAAGAATGTACATGTGTATAAGAAAAAGTGTGCAAGAGAAAAAGAGAAATTTCATCCAGAGAACATAACACTGTGCAAAAGGCAATATACACTTAATTTTGGTCTAATCCCATGCATGTTAGATTGTATAGTCCAATGAAATAAAAGAAGATCTAAATCTGGGTTAGAAAAAAGATAAAAAATAAATGAAACATTACATGCACTGATAGGTGTTTACTAGTTATGGAAAGCATTCAAGTAAAATTAAACTTCAGAAGTATCCTACAACTGGTCTCTTAACTGTTTAAACTTGACATTCTGTTTCAATGCCTCCTCTGAGGACAAACTGAGTTGAGCAAAACAAAATACAGACTAAAGTAACTTCAGTTTGAAGAAAAAATACTGTCCAAGGCTATCAGATACATGAATGGGTTATCATGTCTATCTTCTGGACCCCTTGGGATGTCCGCTGCTTTTATTCATATACAGTACTTTATTTATTAAATATTTACATCCTTGTCTTATTTGCTATTTTCCTTATCCACCTTTGCTTCTGGCTTTGCCCATTTTCCTTTGGCTCAACCACTTTCTTAAGTTCAAGTCTTTGCACACCCACACACAACAGAGCATCTACAATCCAAAACAGGTTACCTAACTCTTCCTTTCAAGTATGATTTAAAAAACAAAGGGCCCCAATCTTTTGAGTCAGTGGGCAGACCTGGAATTTTAAGAGCATGTTCAAGTGTACATTGTCAGAAAATGTTCTAAGATGGTCATTCAAGCCATGATTAAAGCACTCCTTTACCAAGAGAAACACAGTGGTTGGCTCTAAATATGCCTCTGGGTCCCACGGATCACTGAAAGACAAAATTATCTTTATGGTTGATATTTTGCTCTGCAGCATGTTGGCTTTCCATTTTTCTTTTTAATTAAAAGAATCACCCAGGACACCTTATGGGCTCATTATTACTGTAAGCAATATATTAGGGACCCAGAATATGGCAGCCATGTACCAAAATCTCCAGTAGCCATGATGATATATATTTGTAATTTTTTATGTGTCACTGAATATAAAACAAAAGGTATGGAAGAAGAAATGCCAGGAAATTATTATATTTATAGGCCTGTTCAAATACTGGCTAAAACTAGCCCTACAATTTGCTTTTATTTTGCAGTTTCACATTCACGTTTTCATTTACAGCGAAATAAATTTAGTCATCTGTCTCTGCACTCTAGTGAATGCTCAAAATTAACATTTCAACCACAAAAATTCTCCTCCACATGGTGGTGCTCCTCTCAGCAACTACAATGTTCAAAGTGCATAAAATGAATTTAAAAAACACAGTAAACAAACAAGCAAACCACAGAAATGAAACAGGCACCAACTACAGTCCCATATATTCTTTTATATGGAACAACCAGGGGACGGCAAGGGTGAGGGTTCTGTTGTGAACTCTATGCACATTTGCTCAAAAATAATACCTACACTGTACCACAGCACTTACTCCAAAGTTGAGTGAGTCTAAGACTGCAATTGTAGCAGTAACAATGGAATAGAAAGAGGAAGTAAATGTTCGTTAAGGTACAGTGGTTTACAAAGCCCTACTGGTGACCTCCTCCTGCAGCAATGTTGTGTACTTTAATCAGCAGCATGGAGAAAAATATTCTGATTTTCCAGTTCTGCAGGGAAGCTTCCATCTGAGACCTGGAACCTTCAGGTGACAAAATAAAATGAAAATAAAAGAGCAGGTAAGTGCCACTATTCTTTTTACACTTGGCATATTTTCATATACAGGCATCAATACATCTTCAGTACTACACTGAATGCAATGGGGCTTACTGCTAATTAAGTAGGTTTAGATCTGCAATCTAACCTTCTCTCACACTATTTAGGCCATGTATAAGCACCCCTTGTTTGGAATTACTTATGAAAAGAATTCATTACTTCTAGACATTTACTTTTCAAATATGCACTGCAGATCATTTTAGAGCAAATCTTATTAAAATGCCATGCGTAAGAACACATCTTAACATGCTAATTGGAACGATTCTTTGTAAATAAGCCCAGAATTGTGCATAGTGAGCTTTCCTTCTTTTCAATCTCAGTTGCAGTTTATCTGTCTATAGGACAGATTGCTTTTTATCAGTTGAGGGTGGCAGGAGCCTAGTTGATCTGTAACTGGATGTCACAAGTCATGAGACCAGCTTAAAAATAATGTTATTTGCTAACATGGGGTATCGGGTTCTTTTGTTTGCTCAAGATTTGGAAACAATTGTCACAGGTTTTCTCTTTGCTGTCAGAGGCAAAACCAGTGAAGTCTTAGTTGTGATTCAGTATCCGACTGAATGATCAGTTCATGCAACATGTTCAACCAGCCTGATTTGGATTTAACACTTTAACCATGAATGGGTTAGAGGTTACATCACATATACAGTGACTCCATTACACAGATGTCACAATCATGTAACCTGTGTCAGTTGCATACTGATTTATGCAATAATATGACACGTGTGCAATGTCACTCTGATGTCATAGTTTCTAACAGCATTTACTGAATACATTACATTAGCCCAGCAACTGTTTGTGAACCCTGCACAGTAGCTTCGTCAACAAAACTCAGTTAAAATAAGCTAAAGCATGACACAATATATAAATCCAGCTTTTTACATACAGTACATAAATAGATTTCCTTATTATATAATCAAAGCCCAATAAATTAGGGGACTGGAGGCTAAAACATATAAAGAACAGTTGCTGCAATTGGATATGTCCAGTTTAATGAAAAGGACAAGGGGCGACATGATAGCAGTGTTCCAATATCTCAGGGGTTGCCACAAAGAAGAGGGAGTCAAGCTATTCTCCAAAGCACCTGAAGGCAAGACAAGAAGCAATGGATGGAAACTAACCAAAGAGAGAAGCAACCTAGAACTGAGGAGAAATTTCCTGACAGAACAATTAATCAGTGCAACAACCTGCCTCCAGAAGCTGTGAATGCTCCAACACTGGAAGTTTTTAAGAAGAGACTGGATAGCCATTTGTCTGAAATGGTATAGGGTTTCCTGCCTGAGCAGGGGGTTGGACTAGAAGACCTCTAAGGTCCCTTCCAACTCTGTTGTTGTTGTTCTTGTTGTTGTTGTTATAAATTGCTTAGCCTACAAATTTTTTCTCAGAGACTTTCTTCTTTCTGGAAGAGAAAGCAAGCGCCATCTATTTTATACAGTTTCCAGCAAAATAGCTGCTTATATCACGAACTATAAGGACAATATGGAATTTATGGGATGACCTGGCCACAAGATACCTTCTAGGGGAAACTTTAGAATCAAATCAGAACCTGGGGATGGAAATTATGGCTTTGGCTCAATTCTAGCTCATACTGTATGATGGCATAGTCCTAGCATAATATTTCTACCATCTATGAACGTTCTCAGATTTGCCTGATTTGAAGAATAGAATCTAACATTCACATTATAATTATAGTCAGTCCTTTGCTTATGACCACAACTGAACCCAAAATGTCTACTGTTAAGCAAGACAATTGTTAATGTGAATCATTGCACGGTTGTTAAGTGAATCTGGCTTCTCCATTGAATTTGCTTGTCAGAAGGTTGCAAGAATGATCAGATGATCTGAGGACACCGCAACCATCATATATATGAACCAGTTGCCAAGTGTCCGAATTTTGATCATCTGATCACTGGGGATGCTGCAACTGGCATATGAAAAACAGCCGTTATTTTTTCACTGCTGTTGTAACCTTGAACAGCCACACTAAACAAATGGTTGTAAGTTAAGGACTGCCTGTATTGTAATATACAAACTGAGTTAGCTGTAGGGTGGTGACTCTTACAGGTAGTCCTCAACTTACAACAGTTTGTTTAGTAACCGTTCAAAGTTACAATGGCACTGAAAAAAGTGACTTATGACCGTTTTTCACATTTTGCACGACCTTTGTAGCATCTCCATGATCACGTGATCAAAACTGAAAATGCCTGGCAACAGACTCATGTTTATGATGGTTGCAGTGTCCCAGGGTCACGTGGTCTCCTTTTGTGACCTTCTGACAAGCAAAGTCAATGGGGAAGCCAGATACACTTAAAAACTGTGTTATTAACTTAACAACTGCAGTGATTCACTTAACAATTGTGGCAAAAAGGTTGTAAGATGGAGCAAAGCTCATTTAACAACTGCCTCACTTAGCAACACAGATTTTGGACTCAGCTGTGGTCATAAGATGAGGACCACCTGTACTGTACTCCGAGGAACTCCCAAGACAAATGGAAAAAGGGAGGACATGAACCAGCATGGCACTTTCTCATTATCAATCTACACCTTCAGCATTTAGTGCTGCAGGCTAATATGTGTATGTCTGAATTAATGTTAGTCTCTCAATTCAGTCAAACCATGGGGGGGAGGGAGAGGGAAGGTGCAAGCAATGGGAAAAATTGATTTGTTCAAGGAAAACTGCTGTAGGTAACCTAGCACATGCCAGATATTTTTAGACTACCCCCCCCCAACCTTTCCTATAGGCCATGAAGGGGTTGGAAGTCCAAAACATCTGGAAAGCATCAGGTTGCCTGCTGCTGATATAGCAGTACAATATTTTGAAAGGAGGTGGATTAAGGAGGGTTATGCATGCTATGAAATTAAGATATGCACCCTCCATGGGAAGGGAAGTTTCAGCACAAAAACAAAAATGATGAGACTTTTTTTCTACCAGAAGAATGCCATGTAATTGCAAAACATGCCAATCCGAGCGAGGGACTAATATAAGGCAGCACAAAACGAGAAAGAAAAAGAAATGAGTTATGTTTTGTGCAACTCTGCTCGTTTCACAGCAATGGCCACCTTCTGCTGTCTCTATTGTGGAAACTACCTTGACAATCAGTAACATGCAGCTGGAGCTGCCAGCTCCATAGGACAAGGCTCCAATATTTCTGTGCAAAAAACCCCAGATATTTGAACAGGTGTAGCTTATTGTGCCAACATCTGCTGAAATTCTCAACCCGGAAAACCGTTTAAGGAGCCCTGACGTCTTGTGTCTGGCCACCTAACTCATGGAAAAAGACAGCTCCGGACAGATCATGATGTCACTGCAAACAATCTTGCCATAAACTAGACTCTGCCCCGGTGCCAACAGCACCACGCCAGAACCAGAAATAACCGCGTTAACACAATAAGGCACAATCTCGCCTCCCAGACCACGCATAACACGACATTTACATACTTTATATTAACAAGAAATTCAGCATTTATGACTGGTTTCTAACTAGGGAATAAAGCTGTTTTACATATGGAAGGCATCGGTGATTTTTTTTTTTTTAAAGGCTTTAGTATTTCCTTTGAAGCTATGCAGTACAGCAGGATTATCCTTAAAAAAGTCTTCTTCATAAAGCTCATCGTACACTTTCGGCACTCGTTGGAAGTTAAAAAATAAAAATAAAAAAACATCCTCGCGACCCTTCTCGTCGGAGTTGCCATTCTGTGTAGCAGGACCTTTCGGTCTTTTAGCACCAAGGCAAGCAAAAATGTTAACAACACCAACAACAGAAAATCAAGGGACGCTTTCCCCCAACCCATTGCCTTGCCGGCGAAACTGCAGATCCTAATCTACCCGCCTTGGCAGCAGTTGTTCAAGGGACAGGTGTCCTGCAGAAAACCGAGGATCCCTCCTATTCTGCTGCTGCTGCTGCAGCGCGGTGCCGTCCGTCTCCCTACCTCGCCAAAGGATAGCGAGGTGCGCTCCTTCTTGCGTTAAAAGCGGGGCTTGCACCCGCTAGGCCATGAAGAGGAAACGGGATTCCCAGCAGCTGCAGCTGCAGCTCCGGCTCGCGCCGCCTCCTCGCTAAGCTTCGCCGCGCGCCTTGTTCGCGCCGGGCCATTCAAGCGCCGCCGCCGCCGCCCAGCCCGAGGCGGGAAAAGAGGGGAACGACTCCCGCGGGAAGCTGGTGAGCGCCGCAATCGCAATCCAGCTGCGGACGGTGGAACCTTTTTTTTTTTTTTTTTTTTGCGCGCGCGCGCGGGCGCGCGAAGGCTCTTCTCCTGCAAAACTGCGCTCCTGGATTTGTTTCCCCACGACGAGGCGGCGGCGGGAAACGCGAAGGCAGAAAAAAGCCGAGGAAGGCAGACACGGCTTGTTTGGGGGGGGGGGGAGGGAAAGGAGGTGGAAGGCTGGCGTACACGCCGCCCACGCCCGAAGCGAGAATTAAAGGCGGGAGCGGTGGCCCCAGCGTGGCAGAGCGGACTGCAAACTTTTAAACACGCGTAGCGTGTCCTAAAGCGGGAGTTAGGAGGGACCGTGGAGGTCTTCTAGTCCAACCATTTCAGACAAAGAGATGTCCCGTCTCTTCTTAAAAAACTTCCAGTGTTGGAGCCTTCACAACTTATAATAATAATAATACAATAAAGTTGGAAGGGACCTTGGAGGTCATCGAGTCCAACCCCCTGCCCAGGCAGGAACCCTACACCATTTCGGACAAACGGCTGTCCAGTCTCTTCTTAAAAACTTCCAGTGTTGGAGCATTCACCGCTTCTGGAGGCAGGTTGTTCCACTGGTTAATTGTTCTGTCAGGAAGTTTCTCTTTAGTTCTAGGTTGCTTCTCGCCTTGGTTAGTTTCCATCCGTTGCTTCTTGTCCTGCCTTCAGGCGCTTTGGAGAATAGCTTGACTCCCTCTTCTTTGTGGCAACCTCTGAGATATTGAAAGACTGCTATCGTGTTCACCCCTGGTCCTTACTAGACAAACCCAATTCCAGCAACCCTTCTTTATATGCTTTAGCCTCCAAGTTCATTAATTCGGTATTCAGGAGACTGACCTATCCACGGGACGGAACTCGTCCCCGTTTCGGGGGGTCTTGCTCCCCAGGATGTGATTTTTTTATGGGTTGCCGCGCTTTGCAGCTTGACCCCTTCGCCCGTATTCTTCCCACAAAGGAGGCGCGCGGGAGTTCCCACCTAGTTGGCTTTTTGAGAAGCGCGGGAGTACAAACTGCTGAGAGAAGTCTCTCAGTGTAGAGGTTTCAGCCTTGCTGTGTGTGTGTGTGTGTGTGTGTGTGTCCAGCGCAATTTTGAGAAGGGAATCTCCCCGTCCCTTCTAATGGAAAGTGTTATAACTTTACTTTGCAAGCGGCTGCAGGATTGCAGAACGCTCGTAGTTGTGCAAACTGCACAACCACTAGCTCTGGCTTTCCCCTTCCCCTCCCCTCTCCACAACGAAAAGCCCTCCCCTCCCCGGGATGTTGGGTCTTCTAAACAGCTGCATGACAGGCAGAAATTAAACGGCTGCTGTTCGCCTCACACACCCCCCCCGTAATTAGTGCATTTCCATGTTGGGAAATCTTCAGCTGTTAAAATTCTCTCATACAACTGTTGGTGGCTCAGGAACTCCGCCAGATAATAAAATAAGCCCCGTTTGTTTGCCAATTCTGCCTCAATCGTTTTGGTTTTTTTTTTCTTTTTTCTTTTGCAACGTGTTTGCCGGATTTGAGCCTGAATTCAAGCGCTGGGGCGTTATAAAATGAAATAATGGTTTTAAGAGTGCTTCTGTGCCTATATGCTAAACGCATTTCTCGGGGCATGATCAAATCCTATCCATACTGGTTTGACGAGCGGTCAGGTTTTTATAGCCTAAAGGACGAGACTTCCAGGCATCTTTCGGTTTCAAAATAAAGTAACGCCGTTGCAAAAGTTTTGCTTTTGCTTTTGCAGAAGGCTTATAGGAGGAAATCGCTAGCCTCAACCAGGATGATCTTTTAATTTCAGCTTGCTGGGGGAATTTTATAAAATAAAATAAAAGGAAATACATAGTTTTACCAGATACTGCTAATTGCTGATCTGCCCTTTTTGAGGTGGGTTGTTACAGCAGCACAGAACAAAGTGATTTATGACTGACGGTTGCAGCATCCCCACAATCGAATAGGGTTTGATTGGTATAGGTAGGCTATAGGGTTTCCTGCCTGAGCAGGGGGTTGGACTAGAAGACCTCCAAGGTCCCTTCCAACTCTTCTATTATTATTGCTATTATAATTATATCAAAATTTGGGTGCTTGATAACTGGATTATATTTGTGATGGGTGCAGTGTCCTGCGGTCATGTGATTTACCTTTTGCAACCTGAGAAGGAAAGTCAGTGGGGAAGCCAAACTAACTGTACAACCATGTTACTAACTTAGCTGCAGTGGTTCGCTTAACAACTGTGGCAAGCAAGGTCATAAAATGGGGCAAAACTCATTTAACTCCCCCACTTTGCAACAGAAATTTTGGGCTCAATTGTGATTTTAAGTCGAAGACTACCTGCATTTTAGAGACTGGGGCAGCTCAGGCAGCCATTTCTTTGTAGCCAGTATATTTATTAATTTATGTTTAATATCTTGCCCCAATTGCAACAGGCTCTGTATAGATAATAGCAAGATAAAACACAATACAAACAAGATGCCACATAACCAGCACTGAGAAACAGCTAAGGAACACAAACTCACTTGAGCAAGATATTTTTAACTTCTTTGCTGATGGAGGGAGCCACCACTAATAAGGCCTGTCGTCTGGTCCACATCACCTGAACCTGTCAAGGACGCCCCAATTAGATCAGCTCCCATGTGACACCGCTGCTGCGCGAGCTGCACTGGTTACCAGTGGTCTTCCGGGTGCGCTTTAAGGTGTTAGTTACCACCTTTAAAGCGCTCCATGGCATTGGACCTGGCTACCTCCGAGACCGCCTTCTGCCACAGATTCCCTCCCATAGACCGGTACGCTCCCACAGAGCGGGCCTCCTCAGGGTGCCGTCGGCNATTTTAGGTAGGGATGATTTTAAGAAAATTTTAATTGACACACAGCTTCCAATATTTGGCTTTTAATTTGGTTTTATGGGGGTTTTTTGTTTTTTGATGTATTTTGTTTGTATCTGTTTTAATATGCTGTGCACCGCCCTGAGTCCTACGGGAGAAGGGCGGTATATAAATTAAATTATTAAATTAAATTAAATTAAATCATCATTAGATGTTCAGACCCGTTAGGCCAGGCATGTCAAACTTGCGACATCGCGTGACGTATCGGGACTTTTTCCCCATTGCCGGCAATGGGGTGGGCACGGTTTCGTAGTGATGCATCCGGCCCATGGGCCAGCAGTTTTGACATGCCTGCGTTAGGCCAACCTTAGCCTGGTAAAATGCTGCTTGATATATCCCACTGCAGTGCTTTGGATGTCATTTCAAGGAAAAGTTTTCCTCCAAAATGGAACATTCGGATAATTACTATATGGAACTTACATAGTTACTCTTTTCTCCATCATTATTAACATGGCATCTAACATTTTTGAAGGCCTGAAGACTACAAAGTGGGTAGGGTACTTACTACTGGACAGGCCCAGATTTTGGGGGAGAAGAAGAATTGGGGGTGTTATTTATTCATATGTTTATTATGAGAGTTACACTACAGGTTTTATTGCTGGACTAAACACCACGAGGGAGCTGCTGAGTGTCCTAACCCCAGCCTGGTGGCAGACCTTCTCAAAGGTGATCCATCACCACTATATAACCATCTTACCCTGAAAAGGTTCATGAACTACATGAGATACTGGACGTCCTTGTATTTCACAAGGCTGTGAAGTGCTTCCTATCCCAATTCTGTATGCCTTTAACCTGGATTGATAATGGGCTATTACTGATTATATAACAGTCATTACGATGATAACTATTCTATATAATGCTTTTACTGTATGTTGCCCAGAATCTCAGTTGATTGAGGCAATTGATTAATATTGTAGCTAATACGTTAGGAAATTGTGAATTTAAGCTTGGTGAACAATATCTGGCTCCAGAGCCAGCCGCAGGTTACCTGCTCCTACTCTAGAGTAAAAATGCAGTAACTTGATCAATATGTGAGGGTGAAGAACTTAAATCCTCTTGTCTCTTATTTTACAAACATTTCTGTGTGCACAAGCTGTCCTACAACAGTGTGCCCAGAAGTATAGAAAATTTAAAAATATTTGGGACTTCTGAGCTGGAAAGAGCAATATGCAGGAATACATCCAAGTTAGAGGATCCACGCTCAGTGGTGGGATTCAAATATGTGAACAACCGGTTTTCTGTGTGGATGCCGCTTCCGGACGTCCGTTCTGAACCTGGGCAACAAAAAATTAGCTACCGGTTCTGCCAAAGTGGTGCGAACGGGCTGAATCCCACCACTGTCCACACTGTATATTGTGGTGGACATTTATGTAACATTTATGCCACTTGACTTGGAGTAAAAACATACAGGTAGTCCTTGACTTACAACCATTCGTTTCCTGACCTTTCAATGTTACAGTGACATGAAAAAAAATGACTTATGACCTTTTTCACACTCATGACTGTTGTAGCATTCCCATGGTCACATGATCAAAATTTGGACACTTGGCAACAGGCATGTATCTATGAGCTGTACTGTCACATGACCCTGAGACAGTTGTACTGTCCCAGGGTCATGTGATCTGACAAGTAAACTCAATGGGGGAAACCAGATTTGCTTAACTGCGCGATTCACTTAACAACTGCAATCATTTCTTTAAACTGGCAACAACAACAAAAAAGTTGCAAAACGGGGCACAACTCTCTTTAACATCTATCTTGTTTAGCAACAGAAAATTTGGGGTCAATTGTGATCGTAAGTCGAGGACTACCTGTATTGCATAGAACCTCTATCCGGCGTTTTCCATCTCCTCCATCTTCTGTGAGGTGCAAGTGATTTGCATTTGTACAGTGTCACAGGATCTACACTACTGCCTGACACTTCAGACCGGCTTGTATAATTTGTCCTCATTAATACAGCATGTTCTGAAATGAATTGT